GCAGTGCATGATTCAGCTATATTACATTACAATACATTGTAATCTCTGACAATTTACCACTGCTATCCCTTCAAGTTTCAGAACGTTTTGCGTACCCACAGATTTTTGGGGAATTTTTGAAGTTTTTATTTTTAATTTTTTTTAAAAACTCCAAGAGCTATCTCCATGAATTTTCTATACAATGATACAAGATAACAGGGAATAATTCCCCCCAACTTTCAGTAATATTTATACATTGCTTATTTTAAGGAATTTCTTAAAGTTTTGACATTTTTTTTTTTAAGAAGCCACAACAGCTAACTTGTTGAATGTCTCTCATTTAGAACTTCCATTTAGGGATTTTTTTTCCCAGCCCAGCACAGAGGTTTACTTACTAGAAGTATCAGCCAGTCCTGCTCTTTGCAGATTCAACAATTTCTTGGATCTCTCTGGCTGGCTGGCTGGCTGCTGCTACGGAGGGACAAATCCCTCCCCTATCCTGATTGGGGTTTTCTGATGCTGAACAGAATTCTGAGAAATGTAGTTTAGTGCAGGGCCTTTTGAATTCTCAAATGTTGATCATTGAGAAGACTTATCTGAACTTTCTCAACACTCCAGATTGGTTTCTTTCAAAGGAGCAACATATTGGATTCAGAATTCAACAACAGATTTAGTATTCTCAAGTGACCATGGAGAGATTAAATTATCTTTTTCCTCTCCAGGACATATAACCTTGTAAGTTGCTGCTGTTATCTAAATATATTTAATTGCACAACAACAACAACAACAACAACAAAATCAAGCATCCTCAAACATTAGGATGGGACTTAAAGTAGTATTTCATACGTCATGAATGCACAACTTCCCAAACTACATTTTCCAGAATGTTGTGCTTTCTCAGTCTCTTTCCCAGCGAACTCTGCTTTTTCCCTTCTGCTTCCTTCTCCTAATGGCGAGAGACCATTGATTTCAAGAGGAAAGGCTGCCTTTTTGGCTTTGTTTTGCTTCCTTGTGCTGATAATAAAACTGACTTTGGGAGGCTTCTGAGATTAAGAAATTCAAATGAAGAAGTATTGGGTAAGTTTTGAATCATAAGATTTTGGCGTAGGTCACGCCCACATGTTGGATTTTGCATTGTAAGTAAGAATTTAACAAATTTGATATGACTTATGATGACTAAAAAAAGTTACACACCTCTAATAGGTAATCAATCTGTGCTTATCTTCATGGTACACGAGGAGAACCCTTTGTCCTCCAGATGTTTTGTAGCACAAGACATATGGTGGTTGTTCGAAACATAGGCACACAAATTCAGTTGAAGTGTATGGCATGTAGCAGTGAAGTTTGTGTAGTTTTATATTTTTAAAATAGCTGCTTATGAGTTTTATTTTGTGTTTTTTCGAATCCCACTTGCAATGAATGTGAGAAGCCCAGGTGGACTGATGAGATGGGATACCTCCCTGCACCAAGGATACATGGGCTATGAAAATGAAAAACATATTTCCAGGATGTTGCAATTTGCAACTGTTCTTTATTGGGCATTTTCAGGCTTCCACTCTATGATATGAACAGGGAAGGGAAATCTTTAAAATGTATATATTCCACATCTTAGGGCACCTTGCTCTGTCCTTAGTATCTGTTCAGCTAATACTCTCCATGATCTCCGTGGATTTTTAAAAAGTCCCATAGACTTTGTAAATGTACAAATAAATTAATTGCCCGACTTACCGGGCAAGGCCTGTTGCGGTGGGGGGTGCCCCTCCCTCTGGCCATGTTGGTAGCAGGGGCTTCTCCTTCCCAGTAGCCCCTGCGTGGCGGTAAGTTTCCCGCCACTGGGTTAGCTGGCCAACCAGCGGCCAGCCCCACCCAGCACCTGGCATTGGCCAGGGACTGGTTGCACCCTGTGCCCGGCAGTCTTAAATAGGCTGCGCAGGGCCTAGCAGGTACCAGGCCTGCTTCGAGTTGTCCTCCAACCCACCCTGCATGTTCATGTTTTTGTTCAGTGTTGCAGTTGTTGTTCATTATCTGTTCGTCACAACTCCGGTTGGCATGTGGCATGGGCCCTGGATCTGGTTCTGCCCCTCCCCTACTGGCCGGGGAGGGAACATCCGGCGGTTACCAGGGATGCCGTGTCTTGTGGCCCGGTATTGTGCCGGTGGGCCCCCTGTTGGACTCATCAGGTATCGGTCAGCAGCGGGCTGATCGATCTTGATCCAGAACCCATGCATAGCAGCCAACCCTGTGTTCCTGTAATTAATAAATTAAGTTGTGGCCATTTTTACTCCGTCTATGTGTCCGTGTCATCTCTGGTTCTGCGGGCGGGAGGAGTGTCTCCCATCCACACGCAATAGCTATCAGGCTAGAAGGAAGAATAGAAAAACAATGTAATAGGAAGGAAGAACGAAATTATATATCGATGTCTCCAACCCAAGCGACGGGAAGTCACCAAAATGGGAGAGGTGGGAGGAGAGGAGGGTATAGCCAAATAGAAATATTGTATAGATATTAGTAGTATTGTATTGGTTCATGTTTATATATATATGAAATTGAATTACTGTGTTGCGAAATGATGCGTGTCTAAAAACTGTGTCCCCAACACAAACTGTTTTGAAAGCTCTGTGCTAAAGCAAAGTATTCCATGGTCAAATAGTGCTTACCCCCTTCAGCTTGGCACTCTCCAATCATGTTTGACCACAATTCCTCTCACATTGTCACTGGGTAAATACAATTTCCATCATTTCAGCTGCTGGATGAGAATGGTGGGAATTATTCTTGAATCGATTCGGAAGGTCCTAGATCAGTGTTCCTCAACCTGGTAGTCAGGACCAGTGAATGAAGATACATCCTGCATATCAGATATTTACATTGCGATTTATAATTCCAGTTATGAAGTAGCATAACTGGTTGGGGGTCACCACAACATGAGGAACTGTATTAAGGGGTCACCGCATTAGGAAGGTTGAGAAACAATGTCCTAGATGATAGTAGACAGGATTAAGCAACCCAGTCTCATCCAGGCCCCTTCCACAGGATCTGATCCCAGGTTATATGCGTATCCCAGATTATCTGGCAATGGAAACTCATACAATCCAGTTTAATGCAGATAATCTGAGATCATGAAGCCAATAGGAACTTTAGGAGGGTCTTCCCAAGGAGGAGGGACCCTGGGACCCCACCAAAGAGGGATCGCTACTTTGGCAAGCTAGAGAAGCCTGATTTCAGCAATTTTATTAAATTAAAAATTTGAAATAAACCTCACCAAAGTTGAAGAAGCAGCACCGAGGTGTTTTTATTAGCGATTCAGCTGAATAGGATGCAATGTAGCAATCATTCGCCTATAGAGCATGCCATTACAAAGGTCAGAGACATTTTTATAGGGTTTACAGGCTTAGAAGTTTCAAAATTCCTGCCCTCCGCCTGGCTCGATGGTGATTGGCTGATGCGATAACAGCTGGGAGGAGGCTTGGTTGCCTGCCCTGCGCCAATCACAGAGCTTCTCTGCTGCGCAGGAGCCAGTGGGAGAGCTCCTACCGCCTCAGCGCTCTGGCGAAGCAGGAGAGGGAAGGCGGGACGAGGAAGAAACAACGGACTTGTGAATTGATTAATGGATTTCATGCCTTGGGGCCCGGAGCCCGAGAAATCCGGTCTGCGACGGATGCCCAGCCTATTGTCTTTAAATGGATCTGTGATAAGCGTTGATTGCTTCATCCAGGTCTTCCTGTCACCATCAGATATGACACAATGAGAAGGCTGGGGCGAATGTTTGCTGTGTCAAGTTTTGAAAGGAAAACAGTTTCGGGGGAAAAACCTTACGAGGGTCTTCCAGCCCCCCAGTGTGATGTGAGCAAAAATGCCAAATGAGATCCTTTGTTCAGTGGCCCAACTCCGAAACTGAACAGAAGACCTTCAGGTTATGTTTCCCATGCACAAATATCATGATAAGGGTTCTTATTGTGATTGCTGATTGCCCTTTCAACAGCTAGCCGCTTCCTTAATGAGTTCCCCCAAGAGGGAGGGGAAGGGGCGAGGGGTTGGGTGCCAGGGCAAAAATAAGGAAAAATACATGGGGAAATATAGGAATCCAAAGAAATTCATATCAAGCATCCCTTCCCACCCCCTGCCCGCCAGAGAAATTGATTAAAATAATAATTTTAATAAAACATGTGTCCATAGTTCATACTGGGGAAGTTCAGATGTGAAAATGAGTTCTTTAGAGCCAAAAAGAAATTGAAGAAAGTCCAACAGTCACAAAAGGGTGCTTGATGATCTCCACTGAGCCAAGGAATGGATTCTTGCAGTGCCAAGATCAAGCTGGTCCTTAGTCCTTGGGAAACTATAACTTCCTCCAAGGACTGGGACCCCAAGGCCAGGCTCTTCCCTGAAAGCCTCATGGGGTCCTTGTTGTTGCTAGTGTCTTGGCAAATTGACCAAAACTTAACCCCTTTGTGCAGTCTGGTACCCTTGCCCTTTGCAGAACTATAAGTTACCATCCCTTCTTGGGGGGGACGGGGACATGCTTGACTTCAATCAGATCCTGGGATATAGGACAGTGTAGAAGGGGGCCCAGTTGCTGTATTTTTATGTTCTCCTCTCTTCACCTTTGTTTGACCATCTATCCCATTTTGAGGCTGAAAATCCTGTCTGCCCAATCCTAACATAAGGACTTCCTCTCTCTTGTGTTTATCACTGGCCAAATAGTGTCCATGGTGGCTGACCAACACAAAAGCCACCCTTTCTGTTGGCGCCATGACCAAGTCAGAGTCTTGAAAGTAGTTGTTTTCTTACACTTTTCTTCCAACCCACTCCTTCGCTCCTGGGACTGCTCTGAACTCTTGGGAAAAGCTGGCATTGGACAGGAAAAGAGTAATTGGGCAAAACCATCCATCTTTGTGGTTGTTGGGTGGCTTCCCCCCCCCTCTTTCTCTTATTTTTTCCCCTCCTTCTCTCCTTTTGGCAGGTGGTTGATGGAAACCACATGACGGTTCAGCCCCTGAAGACATTTTTTTCTGGAGTTTGTGTGTTTGGAGAGAGAGAGAGAGAGAGACTGAGACTTCTTTACCTCATTGAAACCAGCTTGCCTCCAAGGGAAGTCAATCCCTCTCAGTTCCTTCCAGTGGAGCACAGCCTCCTCCAGTCCTGAGAAGGGCTTGAAACACACACTTCCAAAGCTTCAGTCTGCTGGCAGAAAGGAAGAAGAGAAACTGAGGGGAGGAAGAGAGAAAAAAAGAAGGAAAGAAGGGGATTTAAAGGCAGCAAGAGAGACTAGGCGGCTGGTGGTTAAGGGAACAAGCCAGTCCCAGGTGAAGATTCCAAGGACACAAACCTGACCCAGAAGGTACATTTTTTCTTTCTCTTTTTTACATTCTGCATTTTTCTCTTTTTCTTCTCAGTGTGTTTTACAAAATCCTTCTTCTCTGGACTGCTTTTGTGGTGGATGAGTTAAGTTCACCACTTAACTGTGATAAAGGAACCCAGGAATTTGGATTGCTAGACTACTTGCATGCAAATATTTCCTTGCTCTAAACATCACAGCCTCTGGGTTGTTGTAGGTTTTTTTTTCGGGCTATATGGCCATGGTCTAGATGCATTATCTCCTGACATTTCGCCTGCATCTATGGCAAGCATCCTCAGAGGTAGTGAGATCTTTTGGAACTAGGAAAACAGACCTTACTACCTCTGAGGATGCTTGCCATAGATGCAGGCGAAACATCAGGAGAGAATGCCTCTAGATCATGGCCATATAGCCCGAAAAAACCTACAACAACCCAGTGATTCTGGCCATGAAAGCCTTCGACAATACATCACAGCCTCTGTCCATCTCCTTACATCTTCTTTACATCTGTCCAGTGGCTCTTAACTTTATTTCCCCCTCTTTAATCCCATTGATTACTACTTCCTTTTTTGGCTTTACAACTCCAGTTTATAGGCATGCCTGTATATACTGTATACTATACATTGTTTCCTTTTTAAATTTCCTTTTCTGTCTGGATAGGAAATAATAAATCTCTCTTGCTCACACAGGGACATGTCCCTCTGTGTTTTATGGGGGAATTGTGGCTGTCACTTTGCTCCATTCCCACAAAATGATGAGAATTGGGCTGTTAACAGCTTGCTCTTCCAACTCCCTTGTTCTCAAGTTTCCCTTTGGTCCTTTCATCTGCTTGGCAGCTGCCTGACACTCTGAGAAAAAAGCGACAGGGGTTTTCGGGTTTGCTTTCTCACTTCTTTGGAAATCCTCAAGGTTCCCATGTTTAACCACGGTTTTATTCACATTGGAAGGGCATTTTATCGAAATGGGTAAATCTGATGATCTGTGCTGATCTCAGCCCTAAATGTACACCCAGTTGGGGTTTTTGTTTCATGATCTTGGGTGCATCTATATCAGGCATGGGCAAATTTCCGCCCTCTGGGTGTTTTGGACTTCAACTCCCACAATTCCTAACAGCTGGCTGGGAAATTAGAAACCCAATGTTGAGCAATATATTAAAAGTATGGAACAAATATAGGAGTATGTTAATAGCGGATGGTTCAAAGGTTGTCCCCTGGCATTAAGTCCAGTCATGTTTGACTCTGGGGTGTGGTGCTCACCTCAGTTTCTAAGCCGAAGAGCCGGCTTTGTCCATAGACACCTCCAAGGTCATGTGGCCGGCATGACTGCATGGAGTGCCGTTCCCTTCCCGTTGGAGCAGTACCTATTGATCTACTCACATAATAATAATAATAATAATAATAATAATAATAATACTTTATTTATACCCCGCCACCATCTCCCCAAGGGGACTTGGAGCGGCTTACATGAGGCCAAGTGTTGAGATTAACTTCACAATTCAGCAGCAGATCAGTTGCATAACTTCAGCGCGTTCCAGTAGCTTCTTCCTGCACAGTATTTCCAGTCAACTGCTCCCACAGCCTGCAGTCACTCTGGAACCTTTTACATACACTTGAGCACATGCCTGGCCATTGTCAATTTTACCATTGTCTTTCCCCCAGTCTAGATGATATTACAGACTTACCACAGCATACAGTTATATCTTGTCTTAGCAGAGAGGTTCTTTTAATTACATATAGCCTCCGCCGAACAACATCACAGCACAAAGAGAAATATACACTGTACATGACTTCCTTATATACAATTCTATAGAATTACACATAGCAATCTCTGATTGGTTCCCAACTCATTAACTTAACTCAGACCCAGGATTACATCACTCACAATCACCTGGACTAGGCCAGAACACATTCCTCAAATGAAGCTCTATATACAGTTAATGCATGACTCAGCATTTCCAATAGAAGCCCATTAGCAGTGCATGACTCAGCTATATTACATTGCAATACATTGTAAAACCTGACACCAAGCCCAACAACACATCAGTAAAAACAACAAAGCAATAAGCAAATAAACAATACAATTAATATAACTTACATATAGACACACATTTGCATGTTTTCGAACTGCTAGGTTGGCAGAAGCTGGGGCTGACAGTGGAAGCTCACACCGCTCCCTGGAATCGAACCTGCGACCTTTGGGTCAACAAGCTCAGCAGCTCAGCGCTTTAACCCACTGTGCCACCGGGAGCTCCAGATGGTTCAATAATATCCCCAATTATAATAAAAAAGAAATTTCATTAAAAAAAATAATGGATAAAAAGTTAAGGGAAAAAAATAGACAAAATAGGATATTGGATAAAGGTTGGAATGAAGAAGGAAATGATTATGGAAGAGTTTAGAGAAATAAAATTGACATGTGGACTCAGATAACCCAGATATTGTGGGATTTTCTGCCTTGATATTCTGGGATATAGGGCTGTGTGGAAGGGACCAGAGTCTGAATGGAAGAGGAATGTGCCACTTTTTAGAGGGTGGACGCATGATACCTCAGACCCCACAGTTTGTTTGACATGCCTTGGTCATTGGTCTCATCATCCTCAATCTCGCATAATATATTCAATATTTCTACCCCCAACTCATGTAATTCTCTCAATTGATTTCCTCTTATGGTTTGTGGTTTTAAAAAAAAGAAAGCAAAGGCAAAAGGGGAGGAAAAAAACCATCCTATTTCTGCCCCCTTTCCCTCGTCACATATTTGCTGAGCCAAATGTGAATGTGTGAACTGTCTGGGCAATTATGACCAATTCTCTCCTGGCAGTATGTGGAATATATCTTCTGTGTCTCCATGCGAGTTTGTGCCCAAGGAAAAGCTGCAACATTTCTCTCTTTCTGATTTGTTGTTATGTGCCTTTGGGTTGTTACTGACCTCAGGTGACACTAAGGGCCTTTCCACACAGTCGTATAACCCAGAATATCAGGGCAGAAAATCCCACAATATCTGCTTTGAACTGAGATATATGGCAGTGTGGACTCAGATAACCCAGTTCAAAGCAGATATTGTGGGATTTTCTGCCTTGATACTATGGATTATATGGCTATGTGAAAAGGCCCTAAGGGTCATTCTAGACAGATTCTATATCCCAGGTTTTCTGTTTATTCCAGATTATATGACAGTGTGAACTCATATAATCCAGTTTAAAGCAGAAAACCTGGGATATAGAGCTTGTCTGGAAGGACCCTCAGGAAGATCTGTCATAAGGTTTTTTTGGCAAGATTTGTTTAGCAGAGGTTTGACTTTGCCTGCCTCTAAGGCTGAGAAAGTGTGACCTGCCCAAGATGACTCAATGGATTGTCGAAGGCTCTCATGGCCGGATCACTGGGTTGTTGTAGGTTTTTCCGGGCTATATGGCCATGTTCTAGAGGCATTTTCTCATGACGTTTCGCCTGCATCTATGGCAAGCATCCTCCACTACCTCTGAGGATGCTTGCCATAGATGCAGGCGAAACATCAGGAGAAAATGCCTCTAGAACATGGCCATATAGCCCAGAAAAACCAACAATAACCCAATGACTCAATGGCTTTCCATAGCCATATGGGAATCCCAACCCTGGTTTCCAAGTGTCCTACTCCAACACTCAAATCATTATACTACTTTGTCTTTTTAGGGTGTGTGTATGTGCTTTCAAGTTAACTGTATGTGTCATCAAGTTAGTTGACTGTCAACTTACAGCGACCCCATGCACTTCCTGGGCTTTATATTACTTTAATCTGTTAGCGTGTATGTTTGTGCCTTCAAGTTAGTTAGTTGCATGTGCTATTAAGTCAATTAACTTGACTTACAGCAATACCATGCATTTCATAGGCTTTTTAATGGTGCTTCTCAAAAGGAATTATATTGTACCTTCTTCGTTCAAGGTTATGTGAATTGCTCTCCCACCATACTATTCTATGATTCTATACCAAGGCTTGATGGCCATCTTTTGGGGTGCTTTGAATGCAATATTCCTGCTTCTTGGCAGGGGGTTGGACTGGATGGCCCATGAGGTCTCTTCCAACTCTATGATTCTATTCGGATCAGGGCTTAGAATGCCATTACCAATTGCATCCAGGTTGAGGAATTCTGGAAGTTGTAGTTAAAGAGCATTTCCAAGCTCTGACTGAGATACACATTTGGGCAGAGACAATTGGGAAGCTGAATCCCGCAGGTTATTTCTGTGCTCCTGTGGTATTGTGGCATATAAGTAGCCTGGCTAACTGAATCCAGCCAGCCTCCTCAGCTTTAACTTGGCCCAACAAAAGCGTGTTGTAAAAAAAAAATCTAATTAGCAGAGCTTGGGAATGATGCATTTTTGGGAACTTCAGTGTCCAGGTTCCCCTTCAACTAACGTAGCCAATGACTTTATACGATGTGGAGAATCTGAGAGTTGTAGTCAGAGGTGGCCCTAGGTAATTTTCAATGGAAAGCAAACAGTATTTTGCCCCCCCCCCAAAAAAAACCCCCAAAACAATCAGTGATATATATTTTCTGTTCATCATGGAAGTTCTGTGTGCCATATTTGGTTCAATTCCATCATTGGTGGAGTTCAGAATGCTCTTTGATTGTAGGTGAACTATACATCCCAGTAACTACAACTCGCATATGTCAAGGTCTATTTTCCCCCAAGAGTGCCTCAAGAGCGCCCCAGGGCAAAATCAACTATACTGAAAAGGCTTACTTTGCGTAATGGTTGAGCCGCCCCTGGTTGTAGTCCAGAAAAATCAAGCTTTCCCAAGTTTGGACAAGGCGATATCTAAGCAGCATCTTGTAATCATCCAAATGCCTGTGGGAAGTATTTATATATTTGCAGTATTTATATACAGCTTTTCTCACCCCTAAAGGGACTCAAAGTGGTTTACACATATATAAAGGCAAAAATTCAATGCCTTATAACTACAATAGTAAAACCACACTTTAAACATAAATCATATTAAAAACAGTACATCATCAAATATCAAAACAGTTA